TAGCGCTACGGAAGTTGAACAGTCAGAATCTGACTGTGATATCAGTGGGGCACTTGAAGCTGATTCTCAGAGTGAGCCTTCCACGCTTGTCACTTCACCAGAGGGGTGAGTATTGAAATGATTTTTGCTATTGTATCTTAGTGGCAGTCCTTTTTATGTATTTATATGTTCATATAATAACTTATAATAATTTATTAAAATCTTGGTGACATATATAGCTGGAAATCTTTAAGTTTTGAATGTTTACATATTTTATAGCCTTGTAGGTCAGCATACAGAAAATATCTCTTCACAAAGGAAAGGGAAGAGGACAAAATCGGAATTTGATCCCAAAATTTCTGCAAGCGAGCAAAAGACAGCTCCAAAGTCTGCTTTGAATGCTTCGGGTAACATAAGAGCAGAGGTAACTAAACGCTTCCTCCCCCGCCTAAACTTCTCCCCCAAACCCTGCTCTCCTGGGTATTATATTTGGGTTATTTTCACACCAAAATAGGTGGAGCTTTGATCATATCATCATGACTGCCATCTTAACTTTTGACCATAGTCTACAGATACCTCTGCTGTTTAATAAAACAAGATTTGTTTCTAAGTACTGCTCTCTGTGTTTGGAAAAATTTTATAAACAATTTGAACTACATGGATTTACTTAGGGTCATCCAATCCAATTAAATAACTGCAGTTCAAAAATGGGGATGCTATAGCTATCTGTAGACTTCATAATTAATACATTAAAATCAAACAATTTTCTGGAATTCACATTAAAAATAATCCCTCCACTTATCTGTTAATGAGTTTCAGAGATTTATGGTTTTTTTTTTATTGTAAATTAAGCAAATATTGCTTTGCTTCATTTGAAAAAAGTAATTTATTTTATGGTCAGGTAAACAATCTGGTGTTAAATCTCAACTGTACATTTTCTGCTCATCATATACTCTGTTTAAAAACTAATGTGGGAAAATCATATGGGTTGTACAAACTGAAACAGTAATCTCTTTGCAGTCCAAAAAGTCCAATAAGAAAAATTTTGAGAGATTTATTTAAAAATAAAACTAGTTAGAAAGTTATACATCTTTCTTTGACAAGAACATATTACTCATTTCTGTGGTTTTTTTTTTTTACTGTTGGAAATAATGGATCTATAGTAATGATAGAATTGCCCATCACATTTTTATTTTTGGTGTGTAGAAATGTGAAATAACATTATGTGATACACCTGTAGTTTGAGAGGCACTAATGCTGCTAAGGGTATTTGTGGGCTTAGATAATTTTTTTTGCCCCAAAATTAAGATTTTTTTCTCTGAAGAATTGCAAGGACAAAATGGTGCAAGGACGTTACTTTATTCACTGATTTGTGGGACTAAAAATGTTAGGATGGTATCTAAGCAAAAGCAAGTACTGAAGAATCTTAATGCTTTCAAAACCAGTTAATATTGTATCTGTGAGGAAAGGAGGTAGACAGCTACGTCCCAATATGTGATAATAAAAATGGTATAATATTCTCTCAGGCTTTATTTTATTTGAAACTCAAATCATATGAACAAAAATGCTTTCTTCCTGCATAGTTTTACAGCCTTTATTTATGTTGATTCTTTTCTTGCTGCAACAACTCTTTTTTCATGGTATTTTGTTTGTGTTATATTTTTTATAAGAATAATATCTTTTCTATCAGAGGCTTATACCTTGTATTTTAAGGTGACTTGCAGTATAATGTTATAAATAATACCTTATAAACAAAATAATTACAGTATAGTAAACATACAATAATAAAATAAATAGTACGAAAGCCAGCAAATGCAACCCATCTGAATGAATAGGCTCTGAAACACCTGGTGGTCTCAAGCAGGTCAAAAATGAGGCAGACATAATGTGCTTAAGGGTCTGTCTTGCTACTTAGGCTCTGTAACTGAGAAGACCCCCCTCTTTTATTCACATAAGCCATTTTCAGCTGGTGACAGAACAATGAAAAAGTATTGAGGGGGAGAAGGGGATTTTTGCTGTCCCAAGTTCTATAGGGGCTTCAGGAAACACATTTTCTGTAGATCATGCAGGCAAATTGGTAGTCTCTATCCTGATTCTCCAGACAAAAATCTAAATGTGACTGAGTTTTATGAACGGTCTTTGAAGGAAGCATTATAATGAATAATTCAACTTAAAAAGGAGTAAATATATTTTTATAATTTAAATGAAAAGTAGTGGCATTGCATAAATAATACAAAACCTTTTTTCCAACAGGGTATGCTGTGTTTTCACTTTTATTGTGGTGTCTTGCCTGGGTTAATTCCCTCATGATAGTGAGTCAGTAAAACTTGGAACAGGAGCTATTTTCAAATAATTGCCCCCAATACAACAGGAAATTCTGCAATCTTGTAGCCTTGCCAGTTAATTGTTAGGCCTGTAGTGATATCCTACATTTTAAATGATCAGTACAAGTTTGGATACTCACATTACCTACATACAGTCTTGATCTTTTGTTAATATCAATAAACCTGATGTTTACTATTTTGCTGCCTTTTGCAGAGAAAAGCAGGAGAAATTGACCCTACTTCTGTAATAACCCCAAAGGACCCAGGAGATATTCCCACATTTGATGAATGGAAGAAGCAGGTTATGGAAGTGGAAAAAGAAAAGAGTGAGTTTAGTTGTTTATAGTCAAACTTTGAACAGAATTCTCCCTTTAAAATAAAATAGTTAAGGTTCATTTTGTTTTCTGATTCTTTAGTTTCCTTTAAAAAGAATATGCTCTAATTTTAATTTTATTTGATACTTAAGCAATGCCAAGTCTTTCTTTGTTCTGAGATACAGATGTTCCAAAGGAAACTTACTAAAGCTTTGTTAGCAGCTTTGCAGTTCCAGTGACCACAACATTTCCTATAAAAAAGTGGTCTTAACTTTAATATTGTAAGTCTAATTACATCATAACTGCATACTGAGACATCTAAATATTCAAACACCGTAGAATTACTTTCCTGAAGAATTGGATGTAAGATTTTTATGACTGGGCAGTGGGATTTGTAGCGGTCAGAATCTAACTCATTTGTGAATTCATGTAGAGCAGGGGTCCTCAAACTTTTTAAACAGGGCCAGTTCACGGTCCCTCAGAATGTTGGGGGGGCCGGACTGTAGTTTGAAAAAAACATGAGAGGAGGAGAGCCGCCAGACCCAGCATACCTGTCATGATGATGTAGATTGATGTCAGGCTTAGCCCAAGGAACTCCAAGAGACCATGCAAATTCAGTCCAGCAATGTTTATTAGCTACAAC